TTTCCAGGAGGTTTCACTCAGTTCGAGAGGTAGCTAATGCCGCCATTTCTCAGGAGACCGAGACGACTATGTTCCAGAAAGACAAGGAAGGAAATGCTAAAGCAGGACAGACCAGGGATAAGGGCAAGGGTAAGAGACCTTTTGCCGGACCTGGAGGACCCCAGCAACAGGGTAAGGATTTTCAGCATCAGCAGCAAGGACAGTTCAAGAGAAGACCACCGCAGGATCAGAGGAGGCAGCAGCAACACAAATTTCAGGGGACATGTCACAACTGTCAGAAATTTGGACACAGAGCAGCAGAGTGCCGTAGCGCACCAAGAGGAGGCCAGCAGCAAAGTCGAGGACACGGTCAGCAGCAGAATAATGGTCAGGGCCAGCAACAGCAGCAGGGCCGCGCCTACGGTCAGCAGCAGCGAAGGATCGGGGCACCACCTGTCATTCCGAGGATTGAGGGGCCAACAGGCCAAATACGTGCTATCCAGGAGATTCCTGAGGCACAGATGGCCCCGTATGCTCCACCACCACCAGTTCAACAGTTACCAGCCACCGGCAGGGTTTATGCGGTCATACCACATGATCAGGGTGCGAGCGGAGCCATAGTGGAAGGTATCTTTCTTGTGAATTCCTTTCCGGCTCGGATCTTGTTCGATTCTGGAGCTTCGCATTCTTTTATTTCTCATACCTTCATGGATAGGCTTCAGTTAGTTGCACATCCTTTAAACGTACCACTATCCATCTCTACTCCTCTAGGGGAGATATCCATATTAGAGAGTATCTGCAGGAGTTGTGTCATCAGTTTAGATGAGTCCGAGTTTCTCATAGATCTGATCGTGTTGCGGATGTCGGAGTTCGACGTCATTCTCGGTATGGATTGGCTTTCATCCTACCATGTTAGTATCGACTGTTTCGCTAAGACAGTCAACTTGCGAGCGTCCGATGGGTCTGAGTTGATCGTAGCGACTTCACAGGGCAACCAGTTTGCGGAGTCTCTTCTGGCATACGTCGAGGAGGTGATGCTGAGGGACCAGAGTGCTGATTTGTGTGAGACTAGAGTTGTCTCTGATTATCAGGATGTCTTTCAGGACATACCTGGATTACCTCCTATGAGAGAGGTTGAGTTCTGCATCGAGTTGCAGCCGGGCACAGCACCGATATCCCGAGCACCCTATCGTATGGCACCTGCTGAGATGAGGGAGCTACAGACCCAGTTGGATGAGTTGTTATCTCAGGGCTTTATTCGTCGGAGTCATTCTCCATGGGGAGCACCAGTCCTTTTCGTGAAGAAGAAGGACGGTAGTATGCGATTATGTATCGATTATCGTGAGTTGAACAAGGTCACCATCCGGAATAGGTACCCATTACCGATGATTGATGACTTGTTTGACCAGCTACAGGGAGCGTAATATTTCTCAAAGACTGATCTTCATTCTGGTTATCATCAGTTACGGGTCCGGGAGATGGATATTCCCAAGACCGCCTTTCTGACTCGATATGGGTCCTTTGAATTTCTCGTCATGCCATTTGGGCTGACCAATGCACCCGCAGTATTCATGGATTTGATGAACCGGGTTTTTTGTCCATACTTGGACCAGTTCGTGATCGTATTTATCGACGATATCCTTATCTATTCGAGATCGGAGGCAGAGAACGAGCAGCATCTACGATTGGTATTGCAGACTTTATAGGAACATCAGTTATATGCTAAGTTCAGCAAGTACGAATTTTGGCTATCAGATGTTAGATTTTTAGGCCACGTCATCAATAGAGAGGGCATTGCAGTAGATCCAGTGAAGGTTAAGGCAGTACTAGAATGGGAGCCGCCAAAAACTATCACAGAGATCCGTAGTTTCTTATTACAGGAAGTTCCTTCAGGACTTATCAAAGATTGCCACACCACTTACACGCCTTACAAAGAAGGGTGTATAATTTATTTGGGGCATGGAGTGCCAGAAGTCCTTTGAGACCTTGAAGACCAAGTTAACTACAGCACCAGTTTTGACTATTCCGAGCAGTGATAGGACATTTGTTGCCTACACAGATGCGTCACTAGCGGGCCTAGGAGGCGTTTTAATGCAGACCCCAGAGAGTAGTAGTTTATGACTCTCTACAGTTAAGGACGCATGAGCAGAACTATCATACGCACGACTTGGAGTTAGCAGCTATGGTCTTCGCACTGAAGACATGGAGACATTACCTGTACGGGGTGCAGTTCGAGTTATTCACAGACCACCAGAGCCTGAAATACCTATTTTCTCAGAAGGAACTCAACCAGAGGCGACGACGATGGGTCGAGTTCATCAAGGATTATGAGTTCGCGATTCAGTACCATCCGGGGAAGGCAAACGTCGTGGCTGATGCTTTGAGCAGGAAGCGTCAACATCGGGTTATGGCTTTGAGGTGTTCGTTGTACCGAGATCTTTACACTCTTACCCAGTTTGATTTCAGGCCAGAGATCGGTGGGAGCAACGCATTTTAGGAGTTATGTCAGTACAATCATCTTGGAGCAATAGAGTGGTCGAAGCCCAGCTAGTGGACTCTTAGATTCAAACCCAAAAGGAGGAGATTTCCAAGGAGCCCAAAGATGATTGGACCATTGCAATAGACGGAGGCCTTTGAATGAAAGGTAGATTAGTTATGCCAGCTAGTGCAGAGCTAAAGAAGGAGTTGCTTGATGAGGCACATCGTTCTAAGTACACAGTGCATCCAGGCACAACAAAGATGTACAAGGACTTGAAGAGACACTTTTGGTGGAGCGGTATGCGTAAGGAGATAGCAGAATATGTTGCTAAATGCTTTACCTGTCAGCAGGTGAAGGCAGAACATCAGAGACCAGCATGAACCCTACAGCCTTTACTCATTCCAGAATGAAAATGAATAAGTATCTCTATGGATTTCATTGTGGGGTTACCAAGGTCAAAGAAAGGGAACGATTCCGTTTGGGTGATAGTTGATCGGTTGACGAAGTCAGCGTATTTTATACCAGTGAGAGCTACCTACACCGCCGAGACTTATGCGAGGATCTTCATTCGAGAAATAGTTCGACTACACGGAGTTCCAGAGATGACGAATCGAGGCTCAGTTTTCACTTCGTATTTTTGGAGGAGCTTTCAGGATTCGTGTAATGACCGTAAATTTCTAATACAGGTTTAAATAATTTTTTGGTATTTAAATATTAAATATTATTTTTCTAAAGAAGTATTTGTATTTTTCCCATTCTCTAGAATTTTCTACGAATTAAAAAATACGGTATTATGTTATTTTAATAGTTTTGCTAATTATAAATTTAATTGTTTTGGTAAAATTTTTAAATAAATAGTTAATTACTCATTATTGTTGTTATTATTATTATTTTGGCCATAAATTTTAATATTTATTTTGAATAAATATTATGATATTTTTAAATTATTTAAGGGGGTATTTTTCCCTGTATTTTTCCTCCCACCGGTATTTCACTCTGTATCTCTCTCTCCCCCTAAAACTCTCCCCAATTCACGCAAATCCCTCCGCCTCGTATTTCCCCCAACTCTCAACCCACGTCCTCCCAACCACCCTATCACGTACTCTATCTCTCTCTCATTAAAATCTTCTTACTCTCTCTAATCTCACACTCAATCTATCTCTCTCTGACACTCTCTCTCTATTATTCTCTCTCATTAAAAGCTGACGTCTCACTCTCTCTCACTCAATCACTCACCATCACACTCTCTCTCTCTCTCTCTCTCTCTCTCTCTCTTCTTTATTATTCTCTCTCACTCTCTTCTGCTCTCCCATTCCCCAAGAAACCACCAGCGAAGCCAACTCCCCCTCTCTCTTCGTTCTTCTTCTCCTTCATCAACCAACCAGCCTCACCGCCCGACGCCTCGCCGTCTCCACAGGCCGGAGCATCTCGCAGCCAGCACCACTGCCTGCCGTTCACGCGCCGCGCAGCCGCGAGCCTACCAGAAACGCCGCTCCTGCAACCTGCTCGATCGACAAGCCAGCACCACCCTACTGGACTGCCCGCCACACGCTGCTATGGTCCCGCCTCGAGGTTCACAGCCGTGGAGCTTCCGCCTCCACGACCAGCTGTCGAACCTAGCGCCGCTGCTCCTAAGTCAACCTGCGACCGACCTCTCAACGCGGCCAGTCGCCCTACCCGAAGCCTCCGCCCTGCCCTCGCCGACAGTCATTTCAGACCATCGCGCGCGCTCTCCACAAGACCTCGCCTTATCACGGCCTCCACGTTTGACTCCAACTAGCTCTCGCTAACGCGAAGCCTGCCATC